TGTATAAAGATATAACGTAATTAATAACACAGGGTAAGATTGGGCCACAGATGTTGTTTACGAGTTAAATTAAATAATTTAACTTTTTTTAATTTACTGATTATTTTTTTAAAAAACTGTATTGAGCCACCTTAATAGTTAAAATGTGCAACAAATTAAAGTTAAAATGTCCAACATATTTAAGAACCATTTAACCATAGGTTATTTTCGAAATCCGTGAGATATTAACAAGCCGTGAGCTCACCGTGAGGTTTTAGTAAAATCCTTGATGCTCACGCAGTCATGGTGAATCCGTGAGAGTTGACAACTATATGCCCTATATACATGTATCGTAATTTATATATTCTTTACCATTTATTGAGTCAACGGCTGTTCCAATATACATGTTCATGTTAAAATCAGTTTAATAAATGGTGTTGTGTTGGAATTTACTTCAGTTATACTGCTCTCTATTTTTTATTTGTAGGTTTTATGGTACGACGGGGTTTGTTGCTCCCCCTTTTTTATGCACAAAAATATGACCCCCCCTCTTTTTCCATCAGCCCTCCCTCCCCTGTAATTAATGACCGGTCCCTCACTATCCTCAATTAGCAATTAACATTCCTGAGGGCAATAACTACAATTAACTTACCGTTTTCTGCGGGCTGGCTTATCTATTGGCACATCGTTTCCCTCGCTACTATCGTCGGAATCAGATAGAACTGTAATTGTTGGCGTTCTATAAAAAGTTATTTATCAAGTTATTATTTATTAAGTCTTGTCTTGCGGACACCGCGCTACACTCCGCTATTTTAAAAACAGTTCGTAAATTCCCTGCAGAAACCACTTTAAAATGTATTGAAATAACTCTTGCTATTACGGACTCTCACTATATTACGGCATTGGCGGGCATTTCAAACACTTTATGCATGTGGTCCACAGCTTGTTCTATACCCTTGTTAAAACGAACATTTTTGACGTATTTCCCTCTGGACACAACATGAAAGTGAATGACTTTTTAATTTATGAGAACGGGTAATTTGCGAGCTGTGAAGTTGCGAATTATGAGTTGCAACAGCTTACCGGAGCTGCAAGTTTATACGAGACAGTTGTGAGTTCCGAAATGTTTACGTGTTAGCGAACTACTTCCCTGCAAAAGTGCAGGCACGTTTGGATGACAATAGAAATATGTATCACTTATTTACAAAAGATTGAGGGAAACAGTGTGTTTTCTGGACCCAACAATGAATGTCGATGGACAACAAAATACACTGCTTTCCCGAGGTCTCGGTAAATAAGTCGGTTTTGTTAGTATATAGTATATAAGTATCAAAGTATGAATAATTGCGTCGTTGGTATACTTTATAAAACGTCGGGTCGACTTACCGCATGCTAGTGACGTAAGTTGGATTAGCCAGGTCTTCTTCTATACTGCTACTACATGTATGTGGAGATTGTGGTTCACTCTCAGCAACCTATATATATATAAACAATTTTGATAATGCTATGGGTAGCTAAGCAGCACATGAGCATATTTTCATCATCAGTATCACTTACATCCGAGGTGGCGTACATTTGGGTGTCTGTTTCCGTATCTTCTTCACCCCTACGTTCACCCAGCATGGTCACATCTTCATCACTGTTTATGACTTGAAACGAAAATTATATATAAATGACAACGATCAGCATGCATATATCAAGTCACTACTAACGCAACAGTGTTCTACAATTTGTTGTTTAAAACACTTCTTCCCCCAAAAAACTTTGTGACGAGTCTTAAGATCTCTTGATTTAAGAGACTTAGCGAGATCGAGCGCTGCCTTTCTCGAGCGACAACGTACATAGTACTGTAGGTTATTACTTGGAAAGCCTAAGACCAAAATCACTCATAATAACTGTTTTGCAACTTTTTTGATAATAAGCCATTTCCCAATCGAGCAGAGGACTGGGTCTGGCTGATGTTTGGAGGGACGTTTGATTAAAAGATGCCTTATTTATTATGTTGTGTTTCAAGCTGCACAAACAACTTTAGGAATTTAGGAAAACTTCCTAGATGCCATATTCGGCATATTGCTTATTTTTTGTCCCTCCAAACAAGCAGCTAGACCCAGTCCTCTGCTCGATTGGAAAATGGCTAATAAAGTTTGCTATATTAAATACTTTACTTAGATAAATTATTTTCTTAAGAACCTGCCTGGCCTAATTCAATAATAAATATGGTAAGAACCTGTTTAAGCTAGTTTGAAAAATGTATAGGTTCCTATACTGTATATTTACGTACCTTGTATGTCATGAACTTCAGTTACCCATGCGAAGCTTTGTGCACTATCTCCACTTACTCCACTACTCTTCAAGCGCTTTAGCAGCCATTGTATCAGTAGTTTACAAGATTCTTCACTTAAATCGCTTGTAACCACCAAAATTCCATTGCCGTTTCCGCCTAAATCTTCACCGATCGGATGGGTGTCCATCAAAAAGTAAGAACTATTGTTAGTTCCAACCAAAAACGTATATGGGCTACATGTATACAAGCCGACGCGGTTTCCTTGTTTCGTGGGATCTTGTTTGCTTAAAGCATCGAAGAGTTCCTTCCTTCCCAATCCTGTGAACACGCCGTTATCCGAGACACATTCCTCAGATAACTCATAATTTGCAGCAAGCAAATTATTCGATGTCAGAATCGCTTTCGCGTCGACTGGATCGTACGTTTCTGTCATATCTCTGAACGCATTTATCTTCAAAGGAAGTGTACTAATCGTCTCCTCTCCAATTCCTACTAAATCATCCCACGAAAGGCAACGCTCGTTCTTGACGTTTTGCATGAAAATATCACAGACATGCAAAGCAAAAAAAAACACATGCATTAGTCCCGTCGTTCTCTACGATGTTCAGGTCCGCATTTGTGTCAAACTCTGCTTGAATCTCTGCGTCCTCTGATAACTGCATTATCGTGGCGAATTCATTATCTTTCTTTTCGAGTGCGGTGCTTTGGCTAACATTAAGACTTTTGATAGTTAGAGAGTCTTCCAGATTCTGAAAATTGAAAACTTGTAGGATTTCCGACGTGGATGGTCTAAACGATGGCTCGAATTTCGCACACATTTGGAATACTTCTTCTAATTGCCACCATTCTGTAACTCGGAGTGACTCATATTTAAGATCGTGGGCGGGAAGCTGTTGTATTTGAGTAAACAGTTTCATGGTATCCATCGTTAAGGGGCCGCCTAAATCCTCTGCTTCCTTATGATAAGGATTTATCAAATTTGGGTTAATTGCTGCGTAAGCTAACATACCAAGCGACCAAATATCAGTTCTTTTTAAGTCCCCGAGGTTTGCGTTTTTCAAGGTATTGTTGTGAATCTCTGGGGCCATATATACTGGTGTGCCACGGCAAACATCTTCTGTCCGAGATTGCAGGATTGATTGTGTTTGCGTATTTAAGGATCTACTGAAACCAAAATCTGTGACTTTGCAGACAATTGGGCAATTAGCATAGATGCGCGCAAACGTATCTTTGTCTTTCTGGCAATAGTGCTGGTTGGAGACCAAAACGTTTTCAGGTTTTAAGTCTCTATGAGCAATACTGTGGTTGTGGAGGTAATCGAGTGCGTTTACCACATCCCTAATACATACGACAAGAACATCGGCGAACGATTTGAAATCAAATTCATGGTCAATGAAGTGGTAGAACTCTCCAATATTGGTGACGCTTTTCTCAATTCCGAAGGGTTGAAAATCAAACATTACATATTCCATCATTAATGAATATGGGTTTTCTGTAAATCCTAAAAACCCAGGTATACTTTCATGCTTCATTTCAAAAAGCAACTTTGCTTCCTTAAGAAATCGTTCTTTAGCAATTGACGATTCGCCTTTAAGCTTTTTAACAGCAACTGTCTCCTTGTCATAAATTGCGCGGTGTATAGATCCATAGCTACCACTGCCAATTTCCTCCACGTTTCTCAATGAATTCCAGCTAAATGTTGGCAAACCATGATCGATTCGTCTTTTTTTAATAAGCGATGGAACTTTAAAGCTTCCAAGTTTCGACATTTTAGTTGGCAATTAGGCACGAGCACGTGCCCGACTCTTTTATTCAGGATTCAAACCATGAATTTCGTTCGTTTTAGACTTTAGACACTTACACAATAGATAGTTAACATCGGCGAGAACTTTGAAGTGTCGTAAAGAGAAGAAACGCTTCAAGTATCAGTTAAACTAGTCCTTTCGTTAACTGTGACTGTCAAAAGTATAGTGATAAATGAATAACATTACCCTGTCAGTTATATGACACCATAACTTGTGTTTAATTAAGTCGAGTCAGCGTGTTCCCAAACGACTCGTAAGAGTTATTTGAAAGCAAATTTTTCATGATATTTACCATTTTACCTTTCAAAACATAACATTTTGTCACTAAATACGTCACTTTTTGCGCGTGTAAACATACAATTTTTTAACGGCTTTTCAAATAAGATTTGCGCGCTGCGGGCAAGTTTTCTTTGCACAAACAACATGTTTCCGGGTTATTTAAATTAAATATCTGACAATTTGATTAATTCGGTCGTTGAAATGGTGTACACAGTTCCTTAGATTTGTGAAACATGTTGTCTAAACTGTAAATTTCAAGGAGTTGAAACAACTCTAAAATAGCTATTCTGTCATCGTTTTTAGTGATACAATATAACACTCGGCGGAGTTGATTCAACTCCTTGAAATTTACAGTGTATATGCAAAGAAAACTTGCACTGACAGCGCGGTAATCGTTGTGTATTTAGTGTCAAAATGTTATGTTTTAAGTATATGTATCATGAAAATTTTTGCAGACTCGACGCTTGTATGGATAATACAGAATAGACTATCTCTATAAAGCGACTAAGCGTATGGCAAGATATTCGCACTGAAAGCGATTAGCCAATTACTGCGTAGGTGGTATTCTTTGTCAAACCGCAAGTGTTTTTCTCAAATTATCAGGTTCCGTTGGCGTCAAGTCGGCATTTCTTAAATTAAATAACAGACTTGAGAGAATTATAACTGACCCGCTATACTTATCCAGTAATGGCGAAGTGAATCTTTTTTCTCGCGAAACAAATACGGCCGCTACTACCCACAAGTATTTAAGTCACAGGTTTGCTTGGGCGAGATGACGCCACTTTGATCACAGTAACTTTGATGGTGTAAACCGGCCTTTACATAGTAGGTGTATGATTATTAGTCGGTGGGCATATGATGTAAGACGTCATTGGGTGAACAGCGTTTTGATGTATAAAATTCTTAATGAGCAGTCCGCTCCAAGTCTTAGAGAAAAATTTATAAAAATTAAAGATCTTAATAGAGAATATAATCTTCGAAGTAATGATACTGATTTAGCACTCCAAAACCTAAAACAAACTATCTTAAACGAAGTTTTAAGTATAGTTTGGTTTCAAAGTTTGTTTTCCGCGTTTTACCCTCTTTTCCGCGTTTTACCCTCTTTTCCGCGTTTTACCCTCTTTTCCGCGTTTTACCCTCTATTCCGCGTTTTACCCTCTATTCCGCGTTTTACCCTCTATTCCGCGTTTTACCCTCTATTCCGCGTTTTACCCTCTATTCCGTTTCCGCTTTTCCGGTTCCGCCATTCCGGTTCCGCCAGTCCGTTCCGTTCCGTTTCCGCGTTTTACCCCTACCCCTTGGTTCACATACTCAAAGTTTTCTTCGTTAGTCAAAAAGGTTTTGCCTTGCTTCAGAAATATTATGAAGTACTTTGTCATATCCTTCACCTTATAGACTGTATACGCAAAACAGCGTCCGACATATAGTTGCATATAAATATTTCTATTATCCTCTGGCATGATGCGTATATATACAGGGTGTCTCAAAAAAACCCAAAATCATTGAAATTGACGTATTGTTCGATATTCAATGCCCTAGCACTAAGTTAATCCCACGAGTGCATAAAAGATTGACATAACTGCTATAATGAATGGTAATACTCAGCGTAAACTTGTTATGTCAGGCATAAAGTACTAAACCCACGAATGCATATTACGCATATTACAATTTACGAAGCATTTTTAAATTCCCATGAGCAAACAAACGTTCACTTTACAAAGATATTTTAATTTTTTAAAACAAATTAATCACCCTGTCAAAATCCTTTGTGTTACGGCATTGAAATTCGAACAATACGTTATTTCAATGATTTTGGTTTTTTTTGAGACACCCTGTACAGCTTGTGCTTGCGACTTCAAAATTATCGAAAATGACAAATGTTCTAATCATTTAGTAGTGTCGTAGTGGACTGCTAGTAGGTCTGTATTTCTGTACTAGGTCTGTATTTCTGTGCTAGGTCTGTATTTCTGCGCTAAGTATAACGGTATAAGTTATTAAATAGCTAGCTGTAAGAAGTTAATTAAGCCAGCCGGAAAAGCAAATATTAAAAGTATTCATGCATGATGAACAGATGTCAGGTCCGCGAAAGCTTCCCAACAAAACTGCTCGCGTCATAGCAAGGGTGCCTAGCTTGATCAGCAATTAAACTGTACAGTCTGTACTGAATTTACTATTGTATAGGATGGGAAACACTCGCCTATTATAAAGAGTGAAATAAAACTAAACAGATCAGTGAAGCTAATTAAAGCGAAAATAATATTCAAAATAATTCATATTAATAAGCGATCTGCTCAAAAAGTACACACGAGTTGACCACGAGTGATAAAATAACTCGATCTACTGTGCATAATGTTTTACTGACAATAGGTTTTGAAAACATTGGCAAACATGAAGCGATTTATTTTATATACCTGTGTTCTTTGTAGCTGTTGTCTAACCAATGTTTTTCTATATAGAAACTGTATAGGTCTGTAAATTAGGTAAAATTATTAATATCCAGAAGGATAAAACACTGTCATGACCATTAGTTATGACCACGCGTCCGCTATCTGTATGCCCGGAATCCGTCAGCCATATAATAATTATATGCTTTATATAATAAAATCATTGGCAGACACTTTGTGAAATATTGGGCTCCAGGGAAAAAAATAAATGCCCATCTTTTGTTTATTCCATGAGAAGACCGAGTATGCAAGGTCTGCCAATCAGGAGAAACAGCGATGGAAATGATTGCGCTTTGTAAATGGGCGAACACATGCAGGTTAGCCATCCATTATATAGCGTCAGCCGTTTGGGAACCTGAGCTGAGTGCTTTGCAAATTCATGATATTATATTATTAGTTATACTTGTGCTTTATTCTTGTTGGAAATTACTTATTGTGCATGAAGACATATACAGTTTCAATAGGTAAGGTTTTTAAATTTTAATAATATAATCAATGTAATTAATGTTTACCTTATATAATACGCCCGTGTATGTGCTGGCCATTGGCAATATGATCACTACATGTTGTCCTAATAGAAAATCGCTACAGTGGCCTCTCTTCCTTCTTAAAATAGTGCGAAACTATATTAAGTGGATGTTTTCAAAACGTTCTGGAAGTATTTTGTCAACTTACCCCTTTCGTGATTCATTGCTGCCGAGCGCAGCGAAACAGCACATTACTATTTCGTGACACTCAGATTATTATTTCAGCCTGGGCTTACATTTCAGCCCGGGTTGATGATAAATATAGCTCTGACTAAACTCAGCCCGGGTTGAAACTGCTCATGTAATCGTGATGCAATTTCAGCTTGTTTAACACGGCTGAAACTCAGCCCGGGCTGAAAACTCCCCATGTAATCAGCCCCTAACTGTGTACATGACTGGAATTGAATTATATACTTCACTCATGACCTTTAAAGCATTCTGTACTATTCAGTGGTCTCCGATATACAAGTGACCTCTTTGCTACACGGTAATGCATGTTCCTCATGTAGTTTTGTGTACGGTATGTTACTGAAAAGTTAACATTGGCAAGTGTAAACAACAAGTGACAGAATTTTTGCTTCATATGATCACAATAAAGTATTGCATGATTTTTTTATTTCCTGACTGCATAATTATCTGTTACAATCATAATCACATTATAAAATTAGTTAAGTTTTTTTCGGCGGGTGGTGTTGGTGCGTGTGTGGGGCGATTTGCTTACCGTATTTTCCCTGCTGTGTACAGTCCTGTTAGATGTGTACTGTATACTATAATCCAAGATGGCGGTACAACAGGGCAAAAAGAGTATAAATTCTATTACGAAAATCAGGATTTTTGCATTTTTCGCCGTTACATTGTTCTGAAACTTATTCGGTCAAATTTCATGGTAAAGAGAAACTTACCGCGAAGATTTTGAGCATATATATGATTGAATTGGATGAAAAGTCGCAAAATTATCCATCGATAAAAGTTCGTGTATAGTACTGATATAGTACTATATATCTAACTTGCACAGTTGCTTTAATTTTTGCTCACTATTTGCATGAAATGCAAATTATAACAGACCATAGATGATAGACCCTCATCTAGTGCTCTCATCAGTTTACTTCTCTAACAAGCAAGGGGGGGGGGGGGGATACATAACAGTTCATTTTTCATAATTATGAGGACAGAGCAGATGATGATGACAGATGCAAGTATAAAACACCATTCACAAGGCTATAGATGTTAACATAGCACAGTATTTCTGGCAATAAAACACTCCAACTGACCATTTCACACGAACTTTTATCGCTGGATAATTTTGCGATTTTTCATC